GGGGGGGTAAAAAGGCTCAACAAATCTCAAGCTTCTGTTGTAAAAAAAGGTGAATGGAATGGGAAGGGAGAGTAGAATCTATTGAGTGAGGAATGTAATTATGATGTTCTTTCTACGTCGGATTAGTTGTTTGAACTTACGGCAAATATTGGTCTGCTGTAGATCTCCTGGACATAGCGGCGAAGCAAAGACCTTCGGCGGGCTGACAGAGTTCTCCTGCGGGGCCACAAGCGGCTTAGGGCGCCCCGGGCCATGACCAGCACGCCCCCGGCAATTAGCACAGGACCAGCATACCTAGACAGACGTTTGACGCTTGTCATTTAAATGTCTCCCTTTCATTCTACGAGATTTGTTTTATCTACATAATATAACCATTACTGGTAACATAAAATTATTATGGCGAAATAGCTCAAGTTAGTTATCACCCACTTGGGTCTTTTATTAGGATATTTCTAGAATAAAGCTAGATCTAACAGGCAAGAAAAAATATTGATCTATTAAGACAAATTGATAAAAGTCATTGTGCAAAAGCTGGAGAGTCTTTGTATGATAGTTAGGAAATTTTTTACTTTAAGTTGCGCCACAAATTTTTGACCGCACTGTAATGCTTGACTTCGCTTCCGGAGCAAAATGTTCGGACACATGTGTCGTTACCTTCTTCTGGATTCCAGAAGGACAGATTGTGGCTAAAAAAAGAAACAAATACTTATAATATAATTGGTCACTTTATATGACAAGCGGGGGTTTCCAGAAATCTTGACCTACACCAAATGTGGGCATTGCCCAACCTATAGGAAAAGTTTGGCTTCATTGGTGTGTATATGTTTGGTTATAGAGAAAACTCTCCTTGTCTTTTAAAGAAAGGGAACAAGGGGCAAAAACTTTACCTTCGATTTTCTCAAAACAGCTTTTTTCGGGATACCCCCTTGTGCATAAAAGCGACCAATTTTAAACGACGGGAGATGGGAAAGAAACAGGTTTTAAGTGAGACTCATACTGAATGTATCACAAGTAGCCTACAGTGTTGTTCTGTGAGCACAGGCAAAACAACTAAATTTGACAACTAGGCTTTTGTTAAAGCTGGAGTTGCATGATCGAATTAGTAAAAATGATCACGAGACGGCGTCAAATCAGTATACACAGACAAAAGAGCAAAAGCACATGTGAGAACATTCTGACGTCAGAACAACGCACCTTTCTTTGTTCTCACCGTTCTGACCGTCTAAGTTCTGGAATGTCAAAGAAGTAATGATGACCCCGACCACCAACAGCAACGTGCCAGAGATGATGTAACACAAGGCGTTGCCGAGGAGGTTGCTGCACGGGTTGGCGTCAGACGAGTACCTCCAGGACTCGAACTCAGACGGTCGGCGCCATCTGATAACTGTCTGCATCATAGGCGACACCTAGTGGTAGGAAAAGGTATAAAACTTTTGGGTTGAATTTGTGTTGATAACATTCTCCCCTTCCCCCTCCTTTTCCCTCCTCTCATGTCGCCTCTCTCTCTCTCTCTCTCTCTCTCTCTCTCTCTCTCTCTCTCTCTCTCTCTCTCTCTCTCTCTCTCTCTCTCTCTCTCGTTCGGTCCGGGACCCACGGTGTTTCTCGCCTT